AACGTTTGTATTCCTCTCTACTACTGTTCACTCATGATGTCCTCGTTTTCTCTATTACAAAACTTACCCTCTTTTTACTCTCTTCCTTCTTCTTCGCCTCCTCCTTCCTTTTCACCAAGCTTACTTCTTTCTGTTCTATCAATTGTAACTTTCTTTCACTGATTTATCTACCTCCTTCCTCCCTTCTAATCCTTATTCTCTTTATCTTCATATTTGATTCCTCGCTAACCAACATTACTATCTCTCCTCCTTTTTCATGCTCTTCTTTGTCTAACTCAATCTTTAAATTTTCTCGAATCATCATTTTCATGTTCCTGACATTCTCTGCCCCCCTTATTTTAAGCCGACAACGACAGCCTATACCTCTCTTTCTCTTTATTTAACACTTTCTATTTCCTCTCTCTATCTCTCCCTCCCTCTCATGCCCATTTCCCGTTCTGTCTCGTTAACATATACTTTCTCCCTTTAATTCTAGCACCATTTCATCCTCTCTACAACCATTACTCCGTCTCTCACTTTCTCTCTTAATTGCTTCATTTTCTCTCTCTCTCCCCGTTCTCTCGATGACCTGCACATCCTCCTCCCGTTCAGTTTTCCTCACTCCTACTTCTCTCTTTCTCTCGCTCACTCTCTTTCTTTCTCTCACTAACTCTCTCTCTCTCTCTCACTTTCTCTCTCAACTTTAATATTTTAATTGTCAGATTACAACTTTATAAATGTCTGTATGTGTGTGTACATATGTGCGTGTATGTATGTGTTTATGCATACATGTGTGTATGTATACACTGTTCATATTTCTCTACATATATTACATATATAACATACAATGTATACATAATATATACGGCTATAAAGATTATAAAAATATTCAGAATATATATATATATATATATATATATATATATATATATATATGGAAGAGTTTATAGTCGTTCCAACGAGACCCTTTACGCAGAAGAACTTTTCACTGCCAGTTCAAGGGAAGACATTTGGGTCACAAACGCATAAAGAAGAGAATGTGTAATATCGAGAATGTTTAACATCGAAAAACAAGAAAAATTAATTTCTTTTAAAAATATGTGAAAATATCCATTCTTTGACTGATGAAGTTCGCGAGATCAGAAATTATGGAAAATAAGGTATAATTTTTTTTAAAAAAATCCACATTACAACCAAAAAACGTTTGCGGTTATTATTTTTTTTTTTAATATATATATATATATATATATATATATATGCATTTATTTTTTAATTTGAGGTCTGATGAATTTGATCGTGATTACGATTCCAATGTAATAAATTATAACCATGGAATATTAGTGTTTGAGACTTTCATACTATATATATATATATATATATATATATATATATATATATATATATATATATATAAAGAGAGGAGAGAGAGGATATTGATCCTGAGAGGGCTCAATGAACGAACTCGTCTTTCATAATAATAATGATAATAATAATATATATATATATATATATATATATATATATATATCAGTCAGTTATGTGTCATACGGTATATACGCTTTGACGATCATTTACCTTTCGATACATGAATGACGAAACAGATTTATCCCGCAGTAGGTTGCCATTTGCATTCCAAGACTACAGAACTACGTCTGTCCTGTTATCTACCCATAGCTGGTGGGGAGAAGAAGAGATTCATATCATGTAAGTCAATATAATGGATTCGACTGAAATTGAACTCAGCTCTCTGATTCCTCCGAACTGCTATCCATTACCTCCATCTTGACGGGGTAATTTATATATATTATATATATATATATATATATATATATATATATATATATATATATATATAAATATGGAGAAATAGAGAGAGAGATAAAGGGAGCATTTTGCTCTGTTCTTATATATATATATATATATATATATATATATATATATATATATATATATATATATATATATATATGTATGTATATATATGAAGTGTGTATAAATATAAATAAATATATATATGTATAATTATTTATATATTATATGCTCGGTACTTATTAGAAAGCGCCTCAATATCAGAGATAGAGCTAATATATATATATTTGTATTTGACACTCGCACATTTATTTATATTCTTTCACAACTCACACACGCATACACACAGATATATATATATATATATATATATATATATATATATATATATATATATATATATATATATATATATATATATGTAAACTCAGACATTGGAACGTAATAGAATAAATCCTCATTCTGAAAATAATTTAATAAGAAATATTTTGTAACAATATATATGTATATACTTGTTAAAGTGTCACTGACTGTTAAAAACTCACATGAATAAAAGGAAACGAAGAAGAAGAAGAAGAAGAAGAAGAAGAAGAAGAAGAAGAAGAAGATGATGATGATGATGATGATGATGTATAAACAGTTATGGAATCGACATTGACCAATATTAGAACGAAAAAGATAACATTAAGCGCTCAACTGGCCGTAAAATGCT